CCAGTTGAGTGCGCTTCTCACCGGGAACGCTTGCACTGCGGGGAAGCAATACTACCCGCGGAGCTTGCAGGCTCCACAACTGTTGCTTCCCCGCAGTGCGCAGGTGCTCACTGAGAAGTGCACTCATTGGGGCAAACCAACTGCAATTATGCAAGAGCATATCTGTTAGGTAGCGATGTTTTGATAACTAGTATTCATCATTCATGTTTTTTTTTTTTTAATCTTTTTTTAACTGAAAGAATATTTGCATATAGCAAGCAGATATATAAATCCTCTCAATTAGGATAGCTGTGACAATTCTGTTGTCTACATGCCATAGTTCATAAATATATAGCTATATTAAAATTAACTGAGCTTAGGAGTGGACAAGTGGAAGGTCGGGAACAACCTGCACGAGTTCAGCAGAATTTTCGTTTAAGCATGGCGCACGGCAGACTTGTACGTAATCCGTTACAAGTAACAAAATTACTTGTAATCTTTTACATTTATGAGTAATTTAGTAACGGAATAATTACATATTTTCTAGAGTAATTTTAAAGTAATTCCCTTACATTTTTTACGTAACGGATTCCTTGTAATCCGTTACGTTTTTTTACAGGACCACCCCCACCCCCTTCTAAAACTTTTTTTTTTTTTTTTCTTCTTTTTGGTAAAGTCGAGGCGCAGTGACACTGTCACGCGAATTGACTTGCGCAAAGGGAGGCTTGGCACACTTCAGTTCCGCCAAGCCTTTTTTTGCAACACCAAGCCCCTGAATTCATTTTTTTAGACCCTAAAAACAATGTCAAGTCCAAAAGAGCATTTTTACAATTTGTTTTTTCTTTGCGATCGAAGACGGGGAGAGGAAAACACCAAGTGATTGTGTGCCTCTTCGAGAAGCTCGAGGAGGTAAGTGCACAGACAATAACTAACAATGTACTTCTCGGTTATAGTGACTACGACCATTTTCATAATGCCACAACACGAGACAACGCTCCGTCTACCCTAAAATCCGCTAAAAGAGATGTGATAATATGTGAAGGTGTTATTGCCGCAAGCCTCCTCGTTCGTTCTTGCACACTTATCACCTTCTCTTAGAAAACAGGATGTATTTTGTTCTGTTTCTTTCACCTTATTTGACCCTGTCTTAAAAGCTACTTACTTTTTTGTAATCCAACTTCTAGGGTTGGCCCACTTTATTTGTGAATTCCAGCCAGGTTATCTGCATCTCAGTCACACTTTTTGTGAGTCACCGTTGTTCTTCTTCCCGTTTTTACCCCAGCAGGACGCATCTTATCTCATGCAGACATTTCCACAAATTAAACATATTGGTGTCTAACGTAGACTTGATATTCTGGGCTTGAGGAGAGAGGGAAACTCGTGAGCGTGGGTCACAGTACTCTGCCCTTCGCTGCCTAGCTGTGGCATCAGCGGACGTCTATCTGGAGAACACCGAAGTAAACTGCAGTCTGTTCGTGCTCCGTGCATTTTTGAATGGCATCTAAAAACATACGCACGGCAAATGTACGTTTACATTTCCTTTTTTTAATTGGCGTTCTAATTAATTGTTGTTATGAGTGTACTTTTTTTCGATTACTTATATTTATATACTAGAAACTTTTTTTTTATTCACCTACCTCTCACCCGAGGCTTGACATGTTCAGAACCAAAGGAAGAAGAATATCGGGCCAAACCTTATTTATTATTCAATTGCCACCTTACTGTTACAAGTATGTTTTGCTATATCCTGGCAATATGAGCCGGTATAGTAAGATGGACATACATCAATTCGTATCCTAGTTTTGGCTAGGTGTATGATGACTTCTACTGCTTCGCGATTTAGGCAATGGAGAAATTTAGTAGATCGGTCCGATGACTCCGAGAAGGATACCCGATAATCCGCCGCCGCCTTTTCGCATTCATCATATTGTTATCGGTGGTATCGGAGGTATCAGAGCGATCTACTGAAACTCTCGAATATCAAGCGCTGGCTACAGCGACAAAGCTTTGCTCTATCTTTGAGGTAAATAGTACTTCCTATGCTTCGCTGCAGAAGCCCAATGCAGAGCATAAAACATTCGTGAGGGACAATAGGGCACTCCCATCCAGTGCCTCAGTTCAGAGGGTGTTCTGCGTAGCAGTCGACATATTAAGTAAGAAATAACGCAAAATGTCTGATGAGACTTTCCAGAGCCAGCTGTTGCTCAAAATACTCAGGGTCATTAAATGGAATAGGTTGCAACAATAAAAACTTGAATAACCGGCTCCCATTTGTTTCTTAACTGAAGACAATATTGTTGAAAGTAACGCCACGAAAGTAACGGATTACTTTTGGGGGTAACGGTCACTTACTTTTTTTGGGAGGGTAATTGTAATTGTAATAAATTACAATTTAGCCTTTAGTAATTGTAAATGTAATTCCTTCCTAATTTTCAGTAACGTGTACAAGTCTGGCGCACGGTAGTGAAAGGCTTGAAGCAGCTATTCAATATTCTATTTGAAAATTTGCTTCAAACTTAAAATCCACTATTCGCACATGACTACTAAAAAGCGAGGAAACTTAGAATCAGTGGCCATGTTTTCGTTCTTCTGTGAAGGGTTTTTAATAATAATAATAATCTTTATTTATCAAAATCTACAATACAAAATGTCAGATCTGCTGATGCCAAAGTAAGGCTTGTGTGGCACGACCCTACAATAACTATTGGCTTATTAATATTTTATAATTTGCCCACCATACTTTTGTTTTTTTTAAATCTGTACATTGTATATTGTGCATTAAATTGTCTTGTGATTCATATATGTACATTCATCTGTGTAGTCCATGTTCCCCTTATAATTTGTGTAAGCTGCTCCGCTTTACTGTTTGTTCTTAAACTGTACCCAACATATGATCTTCAAACCTTTTTAACCACCAAAAAAAGTTGCAAATGGAACTGGTAGTAATACTAAATAAATAAACAAACATGGTTAGTAATGCCAGGTTGTGGTTAGCTTATACTACTGGTACAGAAAGTTAAGGTGCTAGCAAGGGTACCTTCGAAACTATCCATTAAATTAAACATTGCAATTAATTGGAAAACTTTGGGTTTCCAGATTTGTGGATTGCCAAATAAAGCAGAATGGTAGCTCTTGTCTGATGATTGCAAGTCAATGTTTAACAATATCTCTCCTTAGTGTGCGACAGCTTTATTGTGCAACAAGATGGCCTGAAGAATCACGACATCTGGTCTTACTATGCGAATGATAAACTCTTGCAGATATTTTAAGTACTGCATGACTGAGCCATGAGCTGAATAAATATTTTGACCAAACAGTGAGGGAACAAGAGGGCAAATTGTTTTCCACAAACTTGTTCTCCACAAAGTTCACTGTGTGGCTTGTTATTCCAAAAAGATTGTTGGGAGTCGAGAAAAACTCAAGTGGCTGTTCTGTTACCCTGGTTGAACAATCAAGGCGCAAAATGGCTGTTAGCATGTGTAACATAATGGGGTTCCAAAAAATAAGCTGCATTCTAATGAACTTAAAAGGGCCATTTCGTTCTTTAGGCTCTGAAGCCTTGCCAACGCTTGAAGTGGTTTCTGGATCAACCACTGCTATACACCAGTGACTCCAGTCCAGGAGCCGGCACCAGGTGCACCAAATGTGGGCCTCGCATCAATTTTTCCATGTGTCTAGACATCTTTCAGCACTGGTGGCCAGTGCGGGAAGCTCTCGAGTGAGGGCCGAACAAGAGCTTGGGATACAAATGGTACAGTTTTATTTGTTTATTTAAAAAGAATGCCAATCCCAGAGAGATATTAAAGCAGGAACGAGTACTAAGAATACATACATCGTAATTCACCCCAGGCGAAAATTTCTACCAGTTGGAATCTCTACTTGTTTCATCTGGGACACCTCAAACACACAAACGAAAAGAAATCATAGACATACCTCCAGAGGACTCTACCTTTGTGTGCACAGCGTGATCCAGGACACACAAATAAATCTCCAAAAGAACTGGTGCCAACGAGGAATCAATAAGAACCCAGTCTAAGCTCCAAACTCAAAGGACTTTTTAAATTCATTGCCTCTGTAAATAGTCCAAACTATGCCACACACCTGTTGCATGCCCTTGAGTTGTTGCATGGCTGGCTTCTTGTAGGCATTGCGGATTTTCGTTTTTGAAGGCCATGGAGAGTTCAGAAGGGAAAGGTACTTGAAACGTTCTGGGGCAATGTACCTCTTCTGTAGACACCAACTGAAGAGCCAGGCCTCCGACTGGAGCTGTCCCAGCTCGAGGCCCAGCTTGCTTAGAAGAATTTAGATATATACACATCCAACAACGCTTGGGGAAGTTGCAACAAAAAAGAAACTGAACACGACTCAAAACCTGCATTAGGGAGAGGTACTGAAATAAGGGTAATAGCGCAGGCTAGCTGGTGAACGGTTAAGGCCCATTCCCACACTTGCGACCTCTTAGAACAGAGTGCCTTGGAACCCCTTAATATCTCTTACGATGAGAGGACACAGTGGCGCCATTTATTGGGTAGCAGTGTAAGCTTCGCGGTCCGGCATATTTTCTATTTCTCTGGCACATTATCCGTTCTTTCGTGAATCGAAAAACTTTTGTCAACATTATAAACGAGCCTTTCTCATAAGTATTACGCACATTTGACCTCGGAAATCCCGCAAAACCTTCGCTCTTGTCAAATGCAGTTCCAGGGTCACCGCATAGATGGCGCCAGCGTGCCAGTGTGTTCTCTCCTAAGAAATTTTAAGAGGTTTCAACAAGTCTTGTCTCTCTCGGTCGTACTCGGTTGCAAGTGTGTGAACCGGCCTTTATACTTATAAAACCCCAAGACAAGAGAAAATGAAAGAAAAAGGGACAACGCAACAACTTCTCAAAACACGGCTGCAAGATTTATTTACAGGTCTTATGATAACGTAGTTCGGTGGTACAACTTCATGATTCGAAACAAGAGGTGTCAGCCAGGTTTCTGTGACAGTGACAATGTCAGGTTCAGATCAGGAAGCACACATTCAAATTCAACAGGTTTATTCAGTACTCTTGCGTTTTGGTTGAGGTTTCCGCTTGGGACGGTTCAACAGTTCTTTTCGAAAGGAACCTTGTCATTCTGAACCTCATCCCAGACGACAAAATGTTGACCATTAAATCTGACTTGGTTAAACACAAATTACATTTTTCCTCGCTTATTTCCATTTTCTCCACTGCTGTTCGTTTTTTTTTTTTTTTTTTTTTTTCTTTCAAACTTCCTGAACAGGACGGGAAAAGTCTTCACTGGTTGCAAGATTTGTTCCCACTTGTGGCAATTTTTCAGTATTTTAGCCTCGTCTAAAGTCGATTAGCTTAAAAATGATTGGTCTTGCATTGTGGGCATTTTTCCTGCCAAGCCTATGTATCCTTTAAAATCCAGCAGAATGAACCTGGAGTGTTTCTTTGACAATTTTTCGGCTACAAAGATTTTCAAGTGATTTGTTGCTTTTGTTTTCCTCTTCTGGTATCCCAGAAATAATCAAGTTTGATCTCCTGCTGCGATTCTTGGGATCATTGATTTTAGTGGCGTTTTTACGGTCCCAGCAACATCAGATTCTGTTCCTGGCGAGCAGCAATTCCTCCATCAAGTGCTCTTAGATTCCATTTTAGTTTAATTGCTGAAAGCCTATCATTTATTTTAATCGTTCCTGTTTTAATTTCCTGAAGGTCATTTGAAATTGGTTTAAGTTAATCTAGAATCATTTTTATGGTAAGACTGGGGTTGGTTTCAATGCCTCCCCCCAACAATAACAAATTCATAAGAAACGAAAAAGCACCACAAAGCAATGGGCAGCATGCTCGTGGGCACGGCAGCACAAACCTTGTCCAATATCATCACTTGAATACATGTGCCATAGTACTTTCTCACCTGTATAGAGATGATAGGTTTGAAGCTGCTCATGTTGGTGATGCCGCCGAGCCCAATGCTGCAGTGAAGATGGGCATCCACTTTTATAGGGTGGCATTGTTAACGCTCCAAGCTTAATCCAATCAGTGGTTCTCGAAGCGCGGCCGGACAGATTGCTGAGCTTCTGTAGAACAGGTAGTGGCATCGAACCGTGGCTCGTATAAAGAAGACGAGAGGTTTGAAGGTGCTCATGTTGCTAATGCCGCCATGCCCAATGGCGGTTACGAGGAAAAAGGCAGGACAATTATGCTTCCCATAAAAAAACAATATTTATACCTGAAACAACATTCATTCACACTTCAAAAACGTCACTCTTTACAAAATTTTACTACCTCTACTGGCAATACTTATGCAAAAGACGGTACAGAGCTAACAGAGATATGAATTACTAAAATGTGTCATTCTCCCCACCTTGTTAGTCCTGCTTGTACTACAGGCCTGTCGAAACTCCCTAGTAATTAGCCAGTATAACACATCTTCAGTCAGGCAAGCAAGACCACCGAAACATGTCAAAATAAGAGACAAAAGTTGCTTAAACCTATAAATATATAAATGAAAAAAAAAAACAAAAAAAACATTGGTCCATTTTTAGTTCATCTCAACTATTCAGCTAGGCTATTGCAGATGGTAATAATCACGGTTAAAGTATAGACCTTTTCATCTCAATAGTTACCCACCCAGCAGATAGAGGGCGCTGACGCACTTGCCGCCATTGGGTGGCTTCAGTTTGGTTGGTTCGGTTTCAGCGCGCTCGCGGCTGTGTTGGTGCTGTATGTAATTTTCACTTAGTGTTTTGATACAAATGTTCGTTGTAGCATATAACCAGTACAACAGTGGTACTGGGTTACTTGAGAACTATGAAGTTGTTTCGAGTCGCAACTGCAGACTTTTTTACAAACACTATGATTTTCGGCGCCAGGTTCGGCCACGAAACGACTTAACAGTACACAAGGAGGGTTCGATCTTCTATGGCCATACCCAATGACCTGTTTTCAGGAAAAAAAAAAAAAACGAATGAAGAGACTAATGTATAGTAGAAAAGCAGATCGACACCCTGATAAGCAATGTGCTGAATTGTGAAAAACACGCGAAGTCGCAAGCTCACAGCTTACTGTTTGATTTTCGCAGACACCAAATTTTTGTGAACTTCAGAAAGTGAAAAAAAGTCTCCTATAATAACTCAAAGAATCTAAAAAATATTGTTCGGATGATCACGCGACGTAATGCGAATAAACAGCGTCGGCTGCTGCAACATTTCGATGTTGCGTCGTGATTGACTGGAAAGTCCGGTGATGTTGCGTCACATTGTGTCTCGCGTAAACCACAACCGATCGCACATAGAACAGCTAGCACTAAACACTTTCTCGTGGAGACACTGCGCTAATTGCTTGGTCGTGCCAGCGTGTCCATTCTTCGCTTGGTAACATTCTCTTCTGCGTGCCGCTTCGCGTTCAAGCACAGCATGATCTTGATGTCGAAGGCATTCCACACTAACACCTACGGTGAGACTGTTGGCGCCTACACCTCGACAACTCTCTCTCACGGGCATGCAGCGTCGTCAAGCAGCCGCTTGGACCGCCCCATTCTTGCGCGCAAAATCATAGTGCCAAGGGAACGGGCGACCAAAGGTGAAAGGGAGCAGGTGGCGAGGAGTGCGATCATATGACCCCAGCGAAATTGCAATGCGCTGAACCCGCTGCTCCTCAACCGCGACTATTATCAGGGAAAGGGCGAGGGTACCACTGCTGCACTCGCCCTCTCCCGGTGCAAAACCCGCCTGCAATAAACCCGCACAGGCGGATTTGGCGAACCTCCGTTCGTTTTCGGCAACAGAACACTCGCCCAGTATAGCTGATGCTGTAAAAGAAGTGATATTGTCTTGGGCTGCTTTCTTTAAAGAAATTAAGTGCTCGGGAAATATTTTTTGATAGTATATCCTAAGCAGGGTGGGAAATTGTTTTAACTATCGGCCCTGCAAATGTGCTCATTAACAGCATTTCATAATGCTGCCGTCAGGAAATGAACTTGTTTTACGACCATTTGCTTACGACATACTCAAGATATGAGATAAGACGGGCCCCTAAATTGTCTAACTATTGTCTTGCATAAAATTTGCAAAATTAAAGTGTGCCAGAGAAGTAACCTCTGGCAAGTTTGGCTAAGTGGAATGCTAGACAACACTTCATGAACCTGTGCAGACAAATTGCTGCCTGTTGAAAAAGATGCGCTTTGTACATTTCGGTGTCACAGCCACTTGAAGACAATTGCTATCCGGCACCGACAATGCTGCACTCTAGTGGCTTCTTTTCAACATCGCATATTGCGGGCCCTCGGCACTCGCAAGCTGCCTGTGACAGATGTTCACCAGGGTAGTCCCGATCTTGGTGTTGGAACAATTGAAATAAATGAATTGAATTGCATGCCTTAACAAAGTCGTTAAAGGACTGAATGACTGCAGACATGGGATCGTGCACGGTGTAGTTTCTTTAAATTCATAAATAAACAGATCAAGCAAATGTTTATATATTACAAAAACTATTAAGAACATCCAACACATTTTGGTGCAGCATGCAAAAACATGTTGCCTGATGCTGACATTACCATTATTCCTAGGATCAGATAAAATGCAAGTTAAACGTTCATTACCTATCTCCAGAAGTTCCCCCATGTAAGCAAAAGCAACCGTTTTCGATTTTTATCGAAGGCAAAGCACGATGCTTTCAGGAAACACACAAAGTTTCTTCTGCAGCTCACTGCTCTCAGCGAAAGGAGCAACTCTAGCCAAAGGAACAACTTTCTCACGAATATAACGTTGTGCTACTTAGTTCGAATATTCTGCCACAATCGCTGAGCAGACTTGAGTTGTCCTAAGTAATGGGCTCTCAACCTTCGTGTCCCCCCCCCCCACCCCCTACACGTATTCGGTATGTTGACAATAAAAATAGCAAAAACGTGTTACAAAATTACTGCAGTATGCACATAATGATGGCATGCAATAGTAGAGGATGATGCTTTACAACAGTGGTTCTGAAATAGGGGTCCGCGGAACCTTTGGGGTCCGCGGAACCTTTGGGGTCCGCGAAGGCATTTTAGGGGTCCGCGATGCCTTGCCTCATCAGTCAAGTCCAGCAATAAAAGTTTTTTGTTTTTTTTTTTAGATTGCGAAGAAACGTAATTTTCGGGTGACTTTTCTCGTGTGTAAGTCAAATAAGATAAATCTACTTCACACAGCTTTTGGTTATATCAATTTATAAAATCATTAAAAAAATGTATATATACCTTTCCCTTCCCCTCAACACGAACAGGGTCCTCCTCCATCTCCGCCGACCCAGAAGGGGTCCATGAAACGTCAATGGTGGAGAACCACTGCTCTACAAAGTAAGGCGGGAAATGCAGTGAACCGTGACAAAAAGCATAAATACAACGCCTTCGTCAAGGCACAAAGGAGAGAGCGGAGCGACGAGTTGAAGCCACCTTATGGCGGCCGCATCATGCAACTCCAAGATGGCAGCATTCGTGCGATGGAGGGTGAAAAGGTCTATACATTCTCGTGAAGTATAACAGGCTTCTAGCATAATAGTTGCAAACTTGACATAACTGTGAAGGAATTCCTTTTATCCTCTCTCTCCAACCTAAAACTACCTACACTGCTTACGCTAGCATGCACACTTCAGCCATATAGAACCTACAAGGCCCAACACTGTATACAAGAGCAAGCAGCACTTGAAGCAGCGAATCTTCTGCCGAGCATTTCGGACGTCACCACAGTCACTGGTCGACACTTTACGATGGGACTAGGCGTCCACCAATCCCTCGGCCACTGCCAAGTTCCAGTAAAAATTTTCAAGCGCAGGAGCAAGTTTGAGTTCCCGCAGTTTGGCGAAGCTGACCACCCGACGACCGCCGGGCCCTGCAGTCGTGGCACTCTTGAGGTTGGCCAGCAGCTCTTGCGTTTTGCCGGTTATATCCTAGAAGGTGACAGAGCGCATTTCAGGGACCCTCCAAGCAAGAAGGGGCGAGCAGACATACACGAGCAACCTCTTGATCTGTCAAGTTACTGTTATCCGCTTGCCGTACCATGAACATGGCAATCTCCTTGTGGGTTTTGCTCATCTGAAAGGCATCTGCAATACAAGCAGAAGACATCCGTCTCAGCCACACTATGGGAGCTACTGTCGAGACCGGTTATAACGAAGTCAACGGGAATCAGAAATCACTTCGCTATATCCGCTATTTCGTTATAACCGGCTTCAGTTAACGAAGTGCAAAAGGGAATGGGAAATCGTGATCACTTCGCTGTAGCCGCTATTTTGTGATAACCGACTTCGTTATAACCGGTTTCAACAGTATTCGTACCATGTCAATCCGCAACCTTGCGCCAGTTTTAAGCCCCTTGGGGACAACAGGGCCACTGATGTGAGAAAGAATGCTGCAGAAACTCTTCTGCAAGAGCGTGCTTCGAGAAAAAGCCAAAGGGCTGTTCACAAAATTAGGCCAATGAATTCCCTATTGGAGTCGCCTCTAATAGAACATGATTCCCATTGTTTGGATATTCCTTATTTACTAGTTTCAATACAAAAAAAGGTTTGCCGACAGCATGCACTTAGCAGCACAATGGACAGAAAATTGCTCTAATCTCAAGGATAGGGCACGGAAGTCTCTGCCCAACGATCACAGCAGTGTCTGACCGCCTGCGAGTACTGACTGCGATGTAACCGTTAAGCAGAGTGCCCTATCCAGACATTGATGGTTCCCTCACACTATGCTAGGCAGCACTATTTCTGGTGACAGTAGTCTGCCAACTGAGTCAATTATTCACATTCTCCATTAAGATGCCAGACATTGTCATTTTCAAAGGCATTTTTTACCCATTACCCTTTCAGGCAAACATTTTAGAAACATTTCTAAAAGATGGTTGAATATACAATACGGGATTTTCCAATCATTGCCCCTTATGGAGAAACCAAGCACAAGACAAGGCTCCAATAATGTCAAAACCCAAAAAAGCATGCTGCGCAGACACTGGGCTTGCCATTCACATACTCAAAATCCTAGAGCAGGTCGGTTTTCTGGGTCCAAACGTCAGGGGTGCCTCATTGTAGTTCCTAATCATTGGCTTCACAGCACAAGCCGATGGGCTGGCAAAGTAGATATGTGAACTTTGTTCGTGAGACCAAGTCCTCTAAACTTTTCAGCGAGTTTTGTTTGTGACCACGCCACAGCACTGGTGTTGACAAGAGGACTGCAAATCTAGCCACCACCGCTGGGAGTCTAGCAACCAGGAAGTGTCACCCAAATTTTCAGCTTGCTCTGAATGGACCTTTTTCCAGTAAGGAATGCCCCATGACGGTTTCGCCGCCTACTACAAATGGAAGGCAACTGGACTCGCCTTCTCCCATAGGAACAGATTAGTGTCGCAAGAAAACAGTGCCCCCCAAAAATGGCGAAAGGGCGGTCAAGGTCAAGTGGAAAGGGTGTGCACGTGCGCAGAATCTTACTGGAAAAAGGTCCATTAGCTACAACCTAGATTGTGGCAACAAGTCATCGCACTAACAGAGTTTCTCATTAACGCGTCTTTGGCTCTACAGACTCAATTAGCTACTCAAACATCCTTATCTGCAACAACCTCCTAAAATGATGCCATTTTTCATTTTTTTTGCTTGTCACAAAATTACTTTTCGATCGACCACCAAAATTAAACGCCGCGAGTCTCGCACAGGTACTGCAATTTGTGTGCTGAATTCCCCCAACCCTTTTTTTGTTTGAGAAAGCATTGTCTTGCCCGAAAACAAACTGAAAAAGATTAGTTGCCACTTTGTTGTTAGAAATCGATAAAGAATGACCGGTGCTTGCATACAGTTATCAATATGCCTTTTTATCAATGCTGCGCCATCTAGCAGCACCCATTCCAAACTATGCGCGACTGCTGGGCGTTGTCACGTGCGCCGCTACCGGCGGGGCCTCGGCTGCCATTATGAGATGCACGGTGGTGCAGGCCAGTATGCAGTAGCACTCCCAACGCGCCTCTCAAGGTGCCTTTTTAATTACAGCACTGTGCAAGCAGAAAAACGTCAAGGATAACCTCGGAAACAAGATAACAATTTCCTGTTTGGCTGCAAAAAATACAGCTGTCGACAAAAAATGCATCAATAGTAAACCACGGTCTGTTAAGTGAGAGATAAACTCAAGTCATAGATAAGGATATGCGCGCATGCATGAAAATCCGTTATGAGAGCTCGCGCAATAAAAAGAACCATCATATCAACAAGCACATGCACGTAGCTTTCCCTAAGGAGACTATTCGGGTGTTGTGTACGAGCGACTCTGGAATTTGGGTACTCTCTTCTTCCAAATGTACCTTTTTCTTTCCTTCCAGAGCAATTCCATTGGTCGAAGCAATTGGGTAATTGCTATGAAACAGGGAGAAGAACACTTAATAAAATGTACAAGGATAGGCTTGAAGCAGTTCAGGCAGACTGGCTACCCTTCGAATGTTACTAGTTGCAGCCGCTTCTTGATGCAACAAGCTGTTCCCTATTTTTTTGCTTTTAACGTTGACAAAGGGTCTCTGAGGGGAGGGAGCCACGTGTCATAGGCTGCCGATGAAGCAAATGTTTTCTACTGCTGATGACAAAGACGCGGTAAGGAACGCAACCGTCGATGTGGACGTCACGATGTCGGCAGCGATGGTGCGACAGCCAAGACAATCGCCGATGTAAACTGCATTGCCAACCAAGACGCGACAAAAGACTTGGTTGCCAATAAAAACAGGACAACCAACTTAATCATCGATGTAAGAACGAACCCCCGAAGAAAATGTCGCTGTTTCGCACAAAGACTCGTCCACGGAACTTTTGTTCACAACTTGAACTGCATTCTTGATTTTGGTTGCTCGTCGTGCGGGCGGCGCAGAATGTCAACTAAACTCCTGGTCCACGATAGCGAATTGGGACCGGCAGTGCTGGTGCTCGCGATCGTGGGGGTATACATCTTAATGGCAGCGCCTTGCCCAATCATAGTGGCCAGCCGCACTCTCGGAACACCGGATGGATGGATCAGCGGTTCCCTTTATAACGGGCAGTAGCTTGCACCACCTAGCCTGGAAACCAAAAGTATGATTCCTCCCCTTGACCTTCTGAGCCAATTTCCTTCCCCCTTTGCATATTTGCAACTATCACCAGGCGGTGTGGGATATTGCCAGGATGACCTTTGGAAGTCTGCCTCGACTCCCTCCTCCCCCCGGTGAGGGAATCGAGGCAGCATCGCAGGGTTGCCAAGAGCAATTTCAAAAAAGGGTCAATTACAGGTGTAACAAGGTGTCAGCATACAAGAAATTGTTTCTACGAAATTATTGTCACCGCGAATTTTGATGGCCTCCGTCAAAGTGGAGAGGCCAAACAAGAATGCCCCCTATGGACAGTGGTGCATCTGGCGGCATCCTCATAGCCAACTTGGGTGCAAGTTCTGTAACCAAAAGGGTATTGAAGGACTCTGCTCTATGCAAAAAAATTACAGCAGGTGAAATGACAGAACAAGAATAACTACAACTGCTCAGCTCAGCCGTGAACTTTTCTTTTCGCAAGCCCCATTCCTAGTCTTCTGAAATGAACACAGAAATGTGCAAATTACCTTTAGAGTGAGGTGCCACTGTGACTTCGATGGCAGCAAGGTTGACAAAAACGTCGTAAAGCTCGAGGCGACTTTCGACAGTGGCATCCCGAAATCCGGCAAGGTAGTGGGTCATGCTTGAAAGCTCGGCCACCTCTGCAGGACTCAGCTCCATGAACGGATAGAAGTGCTCCCACCCTGGCCGGTGTTGACTCAAAGCTGTCAAGGCCCTACGAGAGGTGGCAGAAAGTTGTGGATCTGACATCAAGTGAGCTTGGCAATGGCCTTGAGAATCGCATGCAATGACAGAGTATTTCACAGCTCCGAAGAAGAAAATAAATGGTGCTGTGGAGAATTTGGCACAGCTCCGATTTCCTTCAACTCTATAGAAGTTCCCACAGAAGTTTGCCAATTAATTCAAACAAGTATCAGCACTGCTTGCTAGGGATGATGAAGAGAAAATAAATAAATAAAATAAATAAATGCATTTACTGCAGTTTGAAAGATAATACTTATAAATGGTTGGAAAAAGCTGTCATCGTGCAGCTTCGTCCATACATACTATATTTTCTTGCATATTACCCAAATCAAAACTTGTATAAAATTTAAGGCAAAGTAAAGGTCAAATGAACAAAAAGTAAGGGTGCAAACGAGCTGGTGTACATTGCACATGGTTGAAAAAACCCCGAGACTGCGGGTAAACGACACACAACAACATAAAAGGACACAGGACAGCACTTGTCCTGTGTCCTTTTATTACTTTGTGACTTCATCGTATGCAAGCTATGTTCCATTTTTCTGAGTTATATGCGAATTTCGGCGGGCAGCGATGCGTGCAAAGTAGTAGGGATAGATTCCCCAGTCCCTCTTCTCTGGTCTCTCGTAGGGACTTTCTTCTTTCCACCTTCTCCTTACTTCTTTTTTTCGGGTAGCCATCTTTGCATTATTTTTGCGGGCTGAGCAGCTAAGCTGAACAGTTGAATGCCGCTCCGCGCTGGTTGTCATCAGATCCGTTGCCAAGAAGATCTGAAACCAGCAGCGGGAGCGACACACGTCAAGGTGCTTTTGTGCAAGCCGTATGCCGGAATGAGTATCGCATGAAACATTCTCGCCTGTGTCGGGGTACTTTACAGCCGTGTACTGAGAGTTGATCATCCTTCCGCATTTGAAACAGTTTGACGAGTGTCAATCGCAGACTTGAGTTGGCTCTGTACCACTACGACCTCCGCTTAAAGAGGACTGCTAATAAAATCGGGCAAAATAATGCATATTCTAGCACTAGTCAACATTTGACACAGTCACATTTGTTGTTCACAATGGCTTGAGTGAAGTTTTTTTATTTATTTTATAAACACTTGAGTAGGGCGGTCGAACCAATTAGCTTCGGACAGCAAAAGCTGTCGCAGCAAGCTCGAGCTACTCTTGGCGTTCCAATCAAGCGGCCGATCTATCGAAAGCGAGAAGTGACTCATCAAAACAAAGTTCAAGTTTGAGTTTAGACATGCTTTTCAACACACTGCTGTTTGTGTCTCTGCCATTGCCTGGTGTGTTTGTCAAATGGATGGCGTGCAATTTTCCCTCACAGAAGAGGTGGTGCAAAAGTCCTTACCTATTTCGCAGAGAAATGTTAAATAGTGTTGGGGGAAAAATTAGTAAAACTATAAAAAATATAAATTTTGAGGGGAGGTGCATAAATATACCACTGAGGGAGATTGTGCAAAACCAAAAATTAATTTGAAAAAAAAAATCTTATATAAAATTACCCCCTTTCTCTATCTGCACAAGTGGATGAGTGGTTGAACGCTTTGCATTCTTCTCAAACGGTGAAAAAATATATGGGTACAAATTTTCTCCAGGTAACTTCTTGTTGCCTTATTATGAACTTTCAATTTTATGATACAATTCTGTACTTCATGCACCATTGCATCTTCAAGCAACTTACTTTATTTCATGATGGATAGTGTATTTGTGTATTTTATATGCCTCTCATTGCACCTTGACAATGTTTGATTTGGAGATTGAGGATTTGTTCTAATTTTCATTTTAGCACAATCTTCATGAACAGTAGTTTCTCGCCGCCTGGCGTACACAAATGTGGTTCATTCATTCTATACGCCATTTCGATGTTTATGAGAATCAGTCAACACATGCTAGGTCACAGCCCAGCATGCGCATGCTTGTTGTTTCGGAAGGCGAGCAAAGTATGCGCCGCACGCACAAATGCTGAAAATGGCACCAACCAGAGGTGCTTCCAGGACCGAGGAGTAGATGCATGCAACAAGAGTAGTTACACGTGCAGGCGTCTGCAGCAGTAACTTTTCTAAAGTAAATCTAAAACAAGTGGCAGTTTTATTCAGGTAAGATGAGCATCTGCAGCACCTGTACCCCTATACCAAGCATTCTGCATGGTGCTTGAGTAATTTGTAAAAAAATGTATTGCAAAACCCTTCAACCTTTTTTAATGCGAAAGCATTCACTATCTCATGGAGCGCAGCTGGTGTTGTCTGTAGCCGCGAAAAACGGCACGTCAATTCCGGCTGAGTGAGACATGCAATACATTCCCATTGGTTGCAATGTATCATAGTTCCAAGGGACGCCACCCCACAAAGAAGCCCTCTTCATGGCGCTGTGGCCTGCATGCCGGAAAAAGGGAGACGGGGGCGCGCGTGAGGCCGCCCCTTTCTTCCCCCTTTCAGGTCACGTGTCAGGCGTGGCTGGAGGCCCGGAGGGGGGAGGGGGAGAGTGGGAAGTTCCCACTCCCTCTCCCTCTCCCTGTGCACTACTGTATCGCATGTTTTACGCTCTGCTTTCAGCCATGTCGCGCCGCCCGGCCAGCCTCTGCGGAGGACAGCGAGGCACGCTGCATGTAGTAATGCGCTGCGTGTATGAATGTTTTGTATTTCTACACGTAAGCAGTCTTTAATGTCCTCCTGTTTGTCAGCATAATTGCTTGCTGGTGATAGAAGGAGAGCGGATTTACACCAGCGATTGCATGAAACTAGCGAGCCACGGTTTGAGTGTACCAAGATGGACAAGCGGTTTTCTTAAAATCAAAATTGCTTGTTTTTCCTTATAGTTCAGCAGATAGGCCAAGGTCATACTTTATTATCAACTTCAGTTGGTACAGACGACCGTTTGCTCGTTATTAGATGCACACAAGGTGGGCGCGAGGGTACCCGATTGCCAACTGTGCCCTTTGCCTCCCGCCGGCAACATCACGTTCGGCCAGCAGGGAACTGGGGAAAAAGTAGGGAGAACTAAGTTTTGGTAGCAAACAAATTATGACTTTTTAAATTAACTTGAGCAAATCAGGGGGAACGAGATAGCGTTTCGGAATCGGGAAGCCATCACCATTCAGATGAGGCCTTTGGATTACATAGCTCAGTGGTGGAGCTCCCCTTTAATGATTAACTATGGAGGTATGCAGGCTCTGCAAGGTGCAAAAAGAACAACCTACCTGATATAATTGAGCAAAACATTCAGTTTATGGTGGTACACAATCACCCGCTTCTTCAACATGATGGCTGTGTAAATGATGATGGCTTCTAGTCCAAACATCTTTATTATATCTGAAAGAAAGGAAAGAGTTTTGTACCTTGCCTTCGGGTTGGTTTTGCTCGTACCTTTGATGGGCACCTGAGTCAAGCTGCGCCTGCGCTCAAAGTCCTTGAGAAGGAAAGTGCCGTTCTCCTCGGTTGTGCACGACCCTTTTACAGAGACGGACAGGAAGAGGCGCAGCAGGGCCGTTGGGTCTCCCGTCTTGCAGTACACCTTGCTCAGTATCCTCGCCAGGGTTTCATACTTGTCGGGGCTGAAGTCTCTGGTGTGCAACACCAGCACAAATAGTCGAACCTGTATGGAAGACATTGTAGTAGCCGAGACACCTGCCTCCCCCTAGACATGCATGAATAACCTTTCGGACAAACCTCCCCCTCCCCCCCCCCCCCCCCCCCCCCCCTTCCCCCAAGCATTGGAGGATTTCACCGCCCCCAAACAATGGCTACATGATGGCATGCGAAAACACGTGCACGCAGGCCAACTCACTCGGCTCAAATTGTCGCTGTCGAAGACCTCTGTCTGGTACATGTAGAACCAATCTTTGTGGTGGTGACAATACCGAAACCATACTGGCTGCTCGCTCGACAGGCTATCATTTTCCAGGTCGCACTTGGGCAAAAGCAGAGAGCGCTCCTCTGGCGTGAAGCACGGGTAGGACCATGTCCACAGGACATCGCTGTTGGTGTCTTTCTCTGAAAGACGTAAAGATGTGGTGAGTGTCTCACAACACAAGCCTTCTTGGCCGTCAAAGGCCCTCCAATACAGATGGCACCAGTGGTCTTTTCACCGCGAAATCAGAAGTGGAGATCACCTGGGCTGAGGGTGCCACACGGGGTATTAATGTCGCTGGCTTGCAATAAGGCGGAGCCTCCTCCACGGGTAGGGCTTGGGGAGCTCTCTGAATGGAGTGACGGTGCGCAGGGGGAGCGAGTCTATGCTGAGCGGGAAACTGTCGCTTCGGACATTGGCATGCTGCGAGCCCTTTTTGGAAACCGAGCTAAACGAAACAGTCGACAAGCTAGGCTGCCAAACGGACCGCGGTTTGCGCAGTCATCCCTCACTTCGTTTGGGGAAACTTTCATATACATAGCTTGCATATGATGTCATTCACGGTACCCAGCAATGGTGACATTTGCAAGCTTGTATAATCTCAGGCCCGAGCTTGCACCAAGTGTGATAATCAGCGAGTTCCCGGGGAAGCAGGGCATTGACAAGTACACGCAAGCTTGCCCAGTGTTACTGTGTTTTAATATTGTGCGATATGCTCTTTATATACCAGGTGCGCAGGAATGCCCTATCACACCCTTCCCCCCTAACAAAAACTAGCTGAGGTTCTGCCAATCTTCACGGTGAAAAGGGCACAGGAGGCTTTTGTGCTCGATTGCTTCTTCTCGGTAGCAGAGTGCCAGGAACAGGCCGAGTATCTTCTTGCTGATATCCAGCTGCTACGGTTTGAGGCACCACTTGGGCAGGAGCATCTTGTGGTACAGCCTCAGCGAGAGCGGGCACAGTCTGATCAGGAGGAGCGGCCTGATCCACTGGCTCAGGTTGCGGCACCAATGATGCCCCAGCTTGGGCTAGGTCAGGACACAGATGTCCTTCGTGACACCTCCAACACCGACCATCTGGCAAAGCGACATCTGTGATCACAGTTGAAGGTACCCATGGTGGTCCTTGTCGAAAATTTATCGCATAAACGGCATCACCCGGCTGGACAGTTGATATCACTCAAGCACTCTTGTTGTATGCCATCTTCTGCCTGAACTGCTTTTCTGATATGGTTGACTTCAGGTCCGGGTGAAGCAGAATCAAAGACGATGATAATGTTTGCGGGTTTTATGGCACAAGAGCTCCAACGGCCATTCTGCACCAAACTAGGTAAGCTAAAAAAACATTAGTAAAAGTACACTAAGATTAGATTAGAACTTGGCTATAGTTTGTGTGAAATACCTGTAGTTTCGAGAAAAGCTAAAAGACGATCCAATGGTATGAGGGGTTGCTTCCCCAGAACCAAGATAGGGTGAAATGGGATGCTGTACTTGAAAAACTCGGGGGAAATAAGACATATTATTGTAGAAGGTCACGGAAAAGAAAGAGCACATGCAGAACAGATAAAGTTTCTCCACAGTGCTCGCACACCGGTGGTTCCTCACCTATAAGCAGGTAATAATGAGTAAGGAATGTGTGGCCAATTCTCAAGCAGCACAAGAGGACTTTGTGGAAACGATTTTTATTATAAGAAGTTTCCCAGGCACCAAGTTCTGGTTTGATGGCATGAAGCTTGCTATTATTGGCTAAGTCCCATTCAGACTGCCATAGTCGTGAAAGTGAAAATCGTATGGACATCTTAAGGTCTTGGTAAGGTACACAGACATTCGATGGTTAAAGGTTCTGTGAAGAGGCGGCTAGTCTATCTGCAGCCTCATTGCCTGCAATGCCCACATGGCTCGGGATCCAACAAAACTTAATGTCATTACCACCCACAAGTCCCTGTTGAACCTTGGCCCATACGAGTTGAGTCAACTTATTCATGGCTGGTGTAACAGAGCATACTGCAGTAAGAACACTTTGAGAGTCTACAAAAAGAATGGCTTTAATCACTTTGCTCCTGATTATATAGTCAAGTGCTGCCAGAACACCACACAATTCAGCAGTAAAAATGCTGGCGGCATTGTTAAGCCGAGTACCAGGGGTAAACAAATTTGAATAAATGGCGGAGCCGACATACATTGAGGAATTAGCACCGTCGGTGTAAAACTGGCAGTAATGCTTGTATTTTTCTTGCAGAGCTCAGAATTCCTGTTGTAGAATGAGTGAGGGGACATTATTTTTATTAAATTTTGTAGAATATTAATCACAAGCTAAGGGTTTGATGTCCCATGGGGCCGTATGACATGCACTTTCTAGAAAATAGACACCCTCACGAGGCAGGTTCAGGGAGAGACGGAGGTTCTCAAAAACAAAGACTCAAGAGTCGAACCATAGTTGGTTTATGGTCAAAGGTATGACGAAACTTAGATTCTCGAATACAACTGTGGGCTGGATGACTGGGATCCGATAAAACATTGTAAGTGTACACAAGATATAAGAACTTCCGCCTTTTCTCACAAGGTCGGGGAATATTCTAATTTTTGCCTCACGATTACACGGCGGAATCGCAATATTTCGAAGGAAAGAGGTGTGTTTTTTGTCTTTTGTGACAAGATGAACAATGTAAAAAGTAGAAGATGCCAATTGTTTCAACGTTAAAATCGTTGCACAGCTCCTTTAAGTCCTTGCAATAGGTTCTCCCTCTCACATTGGAAGATCAATGGTGCAGAGGTCACACCGAACAGCAGGTGAGTGTACTGGTACAGACCTCATAGAGTGTTGACGACAACCAGTTTGGACGACTTCTCATCAAGTTCAACTTGCTGACTGTCTCGCCTCCACACAACTTAGCAAACAGGGTCCTCCACTCGCAGGATGAGGTACTTTGCAAGTACAGTCACAGGATTAAAGGGTGACTTTGAAGTCTCCACAGACACAAACCTGCCCATTCTGTTTCAGAACCGGTACAATAGGGGCAGCCCATTCCAAAGTCTTCACTGGATGTAGGACTCCCTCCCGTTCCATGCATTGCAACTCCTCGTTGACTCTGACAAGCATCGCAAATGGAACTGCACGAGGCTTGAAAAACCTTGGTTTGGCATTGTCCTGAAGATTTATCTTTGCAGCAACCCCCTTGAAAGTGCCTAGATCTTCATCAAAAATACTGGAGCATTCAGCAACAAGGTCCGCAACAGAAGTCACCCGTTGACATCCTTTGCCTTGGATAGATTGATGCTGAGGCCCTTCATCCAGCCACGTTTTAGTAGAGATGCGCAGGGAACAGGGACGACATACAGGATGTCCTGACATTCGCGGTTTACAAGTCTCACCGTTGCAATAATGCATCCCTAAACTGGGGAAAGTTTATCTGAATAGCTTTTCAGCATGACGCGTGATGGGCCCAACTGCCTTGGTGGAAATCCGCGTTGAAATGTTTCCTCAGACACAAAAGACATGTAGCTCCCGTGTCGAGTTCCATCAGCAATGGAGTCCCGTTCACTGTAACTTCCACTCAGAAAGGTTGGCCGTAGACTGCAGACGATGTTGTTTCCCACATGTCGTACACTTCTGGCAGTGAAACATTTTGAGACTGGCCCGCTTTATCCAAGATTTTGGCATTCTAGTGGACGTCGTTGGGCCGCCACCGGTCACATCTGATGTCTTCCTCTTGCATACTCGTGCCAGATGCCTTTACCCGACACTTGTGACAAGTGGTACTTGCATGACGGCACTATGTGGCGTAATGCTAGCCTCCACAACGAAAACACAAAATGGTGCCAGTCTTCCGCTTTGGCTGCGTAGCTGCATTGTGTGAGATGGCATTAGTCGACATGAGGTTTGGCTGGATAATTGGTGACAGCATCTGCAAATCTTTCTTCGGTGCTTCCATTGCAATGATCGTCTTTTTCACAAAGTCGAGGGTCAAATCTGGAATTTCTAATAGTCGCCAATGCATCATCTCATCATTAATACCTCCGCAATGCAGTCTCACAGCATTCTCTCTCGGAACGCGCCTAATCCGGAATCTTCCGCAAGCTCGTTCAGACAAGCAAAGAAATGCTTGCACTGCTTCACAGGCATGAAGCGTTCGTGAATTAAACTTAAAACTTGCAGCGACTTCAGACGGCTTCAGTGAGAAATGCTTACCATCACCTCGAAAATGGTTTCTAGGCTGGCCTCTGACGGTTTGACAGGAGCCAGCAGATTTCGAAGCAAAGGATATGTGGCCGGGCCAAAACACGTAAATAAAATGGCTCGCCTTTTCTCAACCTTGACAATGAAGTACTGTTCAACCCACTCCCAGTACTCGCTTCAGTTTGTTTTAGCGTCAAAGAGCTCTAGCTTGCCGACCCCCATCATTCCAGAACAAGTGCATGGTCCGACGGCAGCAGTTCAACACTACAGTGCTATCCACTTATAACGATAACGAGAAAACCCGAAATTTCAATCGTTATAACCGATTATCGTTGTATCTAAATTAGGATCTGATCGTTTCACACTACAAACTCTAAAAACTGATCGTAATAAGAAATACATCGTTCTATGTGGTATTGTTATAAGTGGATCGCACTGTATAGAAAGTTACAGCTCAAGAAGGTAGGGCGAGGGAAAGGAAGGCTGGGGAGGAAGAAGCAGATGGAACGCTGGAGAGGAGAGGTCAAAACCTCCTCCTCTCTCCAGCGCTTCATCTGCTTCCTCCTCCTCAGCCTTCCTTTCCCTTGCCCTACCTTTCTGAGTTTCAACGGACTATAGCTTCGTTATATTTACCTGCACAGGTGTAGAAAAGTGTAGGTCACTGTACTGTCGGCCACAAAAGTTAACGGACCATGCGAGTTGTGGTCGAGCTGCATCACTGCGCTACCTTGCTGCGCGGTGCCTGTTGTTGAGACCCATAATGCGCGCGTGCCCATCCTTTGGTGCTGGCAAGCATGTCAACTCTCCTGCTTCCGGCCGATGCCTTCTCGTTCTCACAGATACGGGGTCGGGCAACGCTTCGGTAGCCGCTGTTGGTCACCGCAGCTGTATCTTGGTGGCGCCATGACTGGCACAAGCTGGGATATCAACTCTATCTTGCACCGCCTGGCATGGAATTGTTTTTCCCAGCTCAACGGCCAGGAAGACGGCGATTTTCCTTGTTTTTCTCTTTTGTTTTGATCTTGAAAGCTTAAGTTATTTTAATATTTTATTTATTAACCTGCACAATATATAACAAATTACGCGTTCTCGTTTAACTGTTGTCACTGACTGGTCGACAGGGTAGCAAGTGCAGAGAAATTTAAAAGGCTTCTGAAACAAACAAAATAAGGAAAAGGCAGAATGGCTAAAAAATGGTCCGAGTGCAGGCGAGCTGGTGTAAGTTGAACATGATTGTAAGCCTCAGACTGGGGCAGAAAAGAGAACACAAAAAAAGGTAGAAAAAGAGGAGACGTTGCCTCCTCTTTTTCTTCCTTCTGTTGCGTTCTCTTTTCTGCCCCAGTCTCAGGTTTACAATCATGCAGAATGGCTGTTTGCCTGGCCACTGAGCTGGGAGAAATAATCCCATGCCGAATGGTGGGAGGGAGAGTTGATATCTTGGCTTCTGCCACTCACTGCGCCACCGAGATACAAGTGCGGCACGACTGCCAACAGTGGCTATCCAAGCGGCAACCTGCGTCGTATTCGTGAGATTAAGGTGTCGGCTGGAAGCGGGAGAGTTGACATGCCTGCAGGTACCAAAGGACGCACATGCACACACTGCAGGACTCCACCACAGGCACCGCGCCTGCAAGGTAGTGCAGTAATGCAGCTCGGTCATGGCTCGCGTGGTCCTTAAACTTTCGTGGCCGACTGTGCGAAGTGTCCCCGAAAAAAATTTACAGGGTTTTTTTCACCACAAAAATAAACTATGCATTGCCAAACGCTCATTCTCCACCCAAAGGTAGCGCTCGAGGTCCGAACCAGATGTTTCAGCACAAACCTTTGAAACTTTGGCATCTGGTTCGGACTTCTAGCGCTACCTTTTGGCGAAGAATGAGCGTTTGGCAATGCATAGTTTATTTTTTTGCGATAAAAAAAAAAAAAAGTGTAAATTTTTTTTCGGGGACACCCTGGACTTCCAATCGTATCTTAGTACACATATCGGAGATATGTGTACTAAGATATGATTGGAAGTACACCAGCCTACACTTTTCTGCACCGGTGCAGGTAAATCGAACGAAGCTACTATCCCATCCTCGTCGCCACTGTGATAATCAGGGAGTTCCCGGGATAGCGGGGTACTGACAAGTAAACACAAGCTTGCCAAGTGTTACTGTGTTTTAATCTCGTGCGATACGCTTTTTATATACCGGGTATTCAGGGGCACCATCTGGCTATCTATCGCACCAAGTATCGTAGGAAACGCCAAGTGTTCACAGCATGCCGGCGGCCGAAACGACCGTTTCCCGCTCAGCGTCGACCGCCGCTCCCTCGGCGCACCGCCGCTCCGTTGAGAGAGTTCCCAAAGAGCCGCCCAAGGAGGAGGCTCCGCCTTATTACACGCCAGCGACATCAATACTCCACGCGGACGCACTTTCAGTCGAATCCACTGAGCACGCGAATATGAGAAGCAGGTTTTGACTTACCTATGAGACCGATCGCTTTCAAATCGTCAACAGCAGCCATGGTACATGATGGGCGTGTACTCCACAGTGGTGCCACCGTCGGTGCCGAGTTACGGGCCTGTGGTGCGGGCCGTACGGGCGGTACAGGCGACTTGCCTTTCTACGAACCTGCCCACAGAATTTGCCTCGCTCTGCCGTTGGGGGCGCTCGGTAAAGTTTTTCTACGCGTTCACAGGTACACAGCCTGTCCAGCGCACGGTGGCACAGTCCGCGGCTGGCCGTAGCATGGCGCCAGCAAGCTGCAGTGGCTGCCGTCATCCGTAGCTACGCTACTAGTAGCTACGACCCATCGCTCTCACGTTTGCTTGGAACGAAAAATCGCGTTTCTCAAGCACGGAAGCTCAAGGGAAATTTTTAGTTCCGACTGCTCTCATATGAAATAAGGCGCGGTCTCGGATCACCCAATGTGGGATCACCCATACCCTCCATACCTTACGTCAGGACGCAGCAGACGTTAAGAGCTATCCTAGCCAATCCCGCTCTGCAGACGCAGCCCCGTGATACGCTTTCCGCGCGTCAATGTTTCACCTTTTTAAGGTCACGTGACATTCACACGGCCTTGGATTGGCTTCGATGGCTCGCAGCGCTTGCGCAGCATTTTTATGACAATTGCTGGATCGCGCTTCGTCACTGCAGCGCCAGTGCAGCCACCGGTCGGCCATCTTGCATGTGGTCGAATCCCATTTCCGCTAGCGTTGCAGAGCCTGGCGGCAGCGTTCGAAAGAGACATTTTCTACTTGTTCATCGTCATTCGCGGAATACGTTTTGTAAAACCATGTGTAAGCGGTGAGACTTGCCGTTGAAAAGACGTGAAAAGTTTTACAAAAGCACAGAGTCGCAAAAAAAAAAAAAAGGCATAACTTGTCGAAAGCAAGTTTTGCCGGTTCTCTCGGCGTAGTCAAAGGTTCCTTGGCATGCCGAAGTGCTGCGTCTCTCTGACTTCGCACGCTTGGATACCGATCAAGAATCGACGCCGTGTGGATGTGTTTTGCGAGTGCAATGTGTACGATGTTCAGAGGTTTGCCTACCCTCCTGTTTTTTTTTTTTTTTTTTTTTACGAGCAAGGCTGGCCCCCTGCCTTTTTAATGTGAAAGCATTCACTGAGGGGTCTCATGGAGCGAGCCGACGTCATCAGTTTGAAGCACGCCAAACAGCACCTTAAATCCTTTCTCCAAGTGAAGCCAGCTCCCAGCTATGAATAAACGCAAAAAGCCTAGACAACGGCACCTAGTTTCCGCGATCCCAAAGGAGCGGAGTAAAGCTGATGGATTTTGGCTTCAATCCCATTGGCTGGCGTGCGTTGACAAGGCTCCCATTGGCCGCTGCACGCATCAGTTTCAACTACCGCCACCCCACGGCGCTGCGTGTCCGTGCCGCATGTCGCGGAGTTGAGTGACACGCAGACGCATCGGATTCCAGTCGGCAAGTGAAGTGCTTTATTCGAGCCGCCGATTATATAGACTCGCAACGGAGGAGCGACAGAGTGAGGGGGCGCCACTTGCGACCTCTACATCTCCCCTTCAGGGAAAAAGACACAAACTTGTCGTCTTTATAAATTAAGTCTCTCGGGCGTCTTGACGCGTCGCCCGAAGCGAAACTCTGCCCGGTTGCTGAGGGCACACTGGTGACTGCGGCGTGGGCACCGACGCTGTGCCCAGCACTGGGGATTCCGCCAGAGACCGCGGAGACCCAGTGGAGCGTTGTAGGGGTTGCGGAGGCGGCGAAGCATCATGAGGCACTGGAGGTAGAGTCGATGCAGCTGGAGTGTCGGAGACCGGCGAACTAGCAGACTCCACTGCAGGCTGAGATGGTGTAAATGGAACCAGATGACGACGGTTCCGCTCAAGTATGCCTGTGGGCGTCTGCACAACGTACGAGCGAGGTCGTCTTGCTGGCCCCAAGACACGCGCAGCTCCAGGTACATCTGCAAGCCAAACATCTTCGCCCGGAGACAGCGGACGAAGTGGACGAGCGGCGTGGCGCCTGTTGTAGTCCTGTGCCTGTCGGCGTCGTGCACACGAGTCTCGCTGGTGGAAGAGAGTCCTTGGAGGCGTTCGAGGGATCAGGGCCTCCTCAAGCTTCGGCACCGTGGTCTGCAGTCTTCTCCCCATCAAGAGTTGCGCTGGGCTCCATCCACTTACTCCCGGGGTGTCGCGATAGACGAGCAGGGCCAGGTAGGGATCCTTCGTCTTGGCCAGCAGGTCCTTCACTGTCCGCACCATGCGTTCAGCCTCTCCGTTGGCCTGCGGGTACCGGGGGCTGCTGGTTACGTGATGGAAGCCGTAACAAGCAGCGAAGGAGGCGAAGTCCCTTGAGGAGAACTGTGGCCCATTGTCGGAGACGACCACTGTGGGAATGCCAAAGCGGGCAAAAATGCTCTTCATTGCTGCAATAACAGCCGAGGAAGATGTCGATGATAGGGTAATCACCTCCGGGTAGCGCGAATAGTAATCTACCGTGAGGAGGTAGTGACGTCCACCTACTTCAAACAAATCAGCCCCCACCCGAAACCAGGGCCTGCTCGGAGTCTGGGAACCCATGAGTGGCTCGTGGCGCTGTACCCGAGTCTGAGCGCAGGTCTCACAGCCGGCCACCAGCTGTTCCAGTTCAGAGTTCAGTGTCGGCCACCACACGGACTCGCGCGCCCGTGCCTTGCAACGGCCAATCCCCTGGTGGCCCTCGTGCAGTCTGGTCAGCATGTCACGTCGGAGCACCGCAGGAACCAGGATCCGGTTGTTGTAGAGCAGCAGCCCCTCACAGACTGTGATGTTGCTCCTCGTGCTCCAGAAGCAACGTAGATGGGCAGGAACTTGCGACGCTCGCCGCGGCCACCCACGTTCGCAGAGACGAGCCAGATCCATGCAGGTTCCGTCTTCCTCCTGGTGTTTGCGCAGTTGCTCAAGACCCGGAGCAGTAAGGTCTTGCCACCCCTTCACGATGTTGTTTACGAAGCGCTCTACATCGAGGGAGTCGACTTCCAGACTGGCAACCTGCGTAGTAGCTGGAGCCCGGGAGAGGGTATCGGCGGTGGCGATAAGCTTCCCAGGGACGTAGAGCACCCGGAACTGGAAGCGAAGGAGCCTCATCCGCAGCCGTTGAATTCTTGGAGGGACGAGGTCTAACTCGGCGTTGCCCAGAAGTGTGACGAGAGGCCTGTGATCAGTCTGGACGTCGAACTGGATACCCCGCACGAACTGTTCGAATCGTTCAACTGCCCATGCCACGGCGAGTGCCTCCTTTTCGGTTTGGCTGTATCTGGACTCCGTCGGAGTTAGTGAACGACTTGCAAATGCCACTGCACGATGCTCTCCGGAAGGTTGCTGCTGCAGGAGAACTGCTCCGAGGCCGTAGGAGCTGGCGTCGGCGGACACAGTCGTGGGGTAGGTAGGGTCGTACCGGGCCATGCAGGCGGTTGAGCTGAGCAGCCCTTTCAGTTTCTGGAACGTTTGCTGCTGTGCAGGACCCCAAACCCATGTACTGGACTTCTGAAGAAGAGCCCGGAGGGGTGCTGTCGTGTCCGACAAGTGGGGAAGAAAACGTCCCAAGTGATTGGCCATCCCCAGCAGTCGTCGCACTCCACTGACGTCTGAGGGAGCCTCGAGATCTGCGAGCGCTTTGATCTTCTCCGGATCAGGACTGATGCCTCTGTCGCTGACCATGACGCCCAGGAACTTGACTTCACGCGCCGAAAAGACGCACTTGGAGCGGTTGAGCTTGACCCCGGCTGCCTGGAGACGCTGCAAGACGTTGTTCAGGCGACGGTCGTGCTCAGCCTGAGTGCTGCCGAAGACCAATATGTCGTCGATCATGTTTACCACACCCTCGAGGCCTTCCAGGACACGGCTCATCTGTCGCTGGAAGTATTCCGGCGCCGAGCAGATGCCGAAGGGGAGGCGTCGGAAGCAGAACCGCCCGAAAGGGGTGATGAACGTAGTCAGTTCTTGGCAGCTTTCTGCAAGCTTCACCTGATGAAAGCTCGCCGTTGCGTCGAGTTTGGAGAAGACCTGGGCTTGTCCAAGTTGTCCCAGGGTGTGCTCGACGGAGGGGAGGATGTGTCGCTCTCGTAGGAAGACCTGGTTGAGGCGGGTCAGGTCGACGCAAATTCGGTAGTCGCCAGACTGCTTCGGAACGACGACGATGCCGGAGCACCACTCTGTGGGGCCGTCAACGCGGCGAATGACCCCGTCGGCTTCAAGCTTCGCAAGTTCGCGCCGGACAGCGTCATGGAGTGGAAGGGGAACCCTTCTCGGCGTGCTCAACGAAAAGGGTCGTGTCCCGGGTTGGAGACGGATGACGTACTCCTCTCGCAGTTCGCCCAACCCGTCGAAGATGTCTCGGGAAAGAGGCGTGCGCTGCTGTGGCCCTTCAGAGCTTGTGACAGCATCTGCGAACCGGACGACGCCCAGGGCCTGGATTGCGGGGAACCCAAGTAATGGCGTGGTCGATGCTGGCAGCACGTATATACGCTGGACCGTGGTCGTTCCCTTCCACGTGAGAGTGGCGTCGAAAGTGCCCAAAACTGTCAACACGTGGTTTCCTGGTCCCGTGAGCTGGCCTTCTACCGGTTGAAGTTGTGGAGGGAGGCCTGGAAAAGTCTCGGGTACGGCTGTGACTTCGGCGCCGGTGTCGATCTTGAAGTTCACGGGGTGACCGTCGACGGAGACTTGCGTGAACTTGGCTAAGGGGCGCGGCGTCACCGCGTGCAGCTGAAGAGAGCCAAGTCGGTCCCGCTGTTCGCAAACGGCTGCGTAGTGACCTTTCCGCTTGCAGCGGCTGCATATGGCGTCCCGTGCCGGGCAGTTCGCACGGGGGTGAGCGGTGCGACCGCAGTAACGGCAGGGGCTGTCGCCGTCGTGCTTGTCGCGGGCCGCGTGTTTGCCAGTGCGTGTGTTCTTGCGCTGTAGGTTTTTCCCGGAGCGCTGTCGACCCTCGGAGTCGTGCTTACGTGTCTCGGCGACCACGTGGCCGGGAACAGACTCTGCGAAGAGCGTGTCACGTGCACGTCCGGCGTCCTCGTGGACACGAGCCTGGAGGCGGGCTTCGTCCAGCGATAGCTTGGGACTTCGGCAGAGTTTGTCGACGAGTGCCTTGTCGCGAAGCCCCACGACGAAGCGGTCCCTTACGAGTCGGTCTTCAACTGCGGTCGACGCGTAACCGCATTTCTTGACGAGCGACCGGAGTCCCGTGAAAAACGCGTCCACGCTTTCGCCCGGTTCTTGGATGCGACGATGAAACACGACGCTTGCGTATACCTCGTTGGTAGGATGCACGAAGTGGCGTGTGAAGGCTTCTTTGACGGCGTCGAAGGACAGTAGCGCTTCCGAAGACAGGCCGAATGTCTCGAGTACGCGCCCAGCCTCGCGGGAGCCCATGAGGTAGAGAAGAGTCCGTACCTGGACCTCGTCGGCGGCGTGGTGTAGTCCCGAAGCGAAGCGGAAGTCTTCGAAGTCTGCAATCCATTGTTCCCAAGTGCTGGGGTTCGCGAAGTCGAACGGAG